AAATATACGCCCTCCCCCAATAATAAGCCCCCTGGACAACCCTCCCTCCAGCCAGGCAGAGCGCCACTCACCAATCTAGAGATATCCTGAAGGTGCAAAGCTGCAGGAGCCGGGGGGAGGGGGGCAAAGGCACTCACATTGCTTGACGCCTCTGGGATACCGCTAGGTTGGTGGGTGGCGCTGTGCTCAGCTGGAGCGGGGGGTTGCTGGGTAGCTGCTCTCACGAGCAGCCTCCCGGCAACGCCCCTTTCCAGCCGGGCAGAGCGCCACTCACCAACTCAGTAATATCCCAAAGGCACTAAGCCGCGTGGCGCTCTGGCCAGCTGGAAAGAGAGGTAGGGGCGTTGCCGGGCGACTGCTCATGCACATGGTCACCTCATGGCGGCACTGTTGCACTGCTGTGACAGCACAACACAGCCATTTGCCCCTGAGGCTGTGCCCGGCTCTTCGGGCGCCCGCTTGTAAGAGAGCAGCCAGCTGGCAACCCCAAACCAATAAGCTCCCCCGCCCCGATAATAAGACTCAAGCAAAATTTGTGGGGGTCAAAAGAAAATAAGACCCTGTCTTATTTTCGGGAAAACACGGTAACAATCAACTAAACCGTCTCTTCCAGATGTCTCTTTCCCCATGGACATTATTTCATGGATTATTTCAATAGTCAAACCCTGAAAACTCCATCACCACATCTCAAACACCTTCCACTTTGGGTTCTGTTTGCAAAACCACAAGAAAAGAGTGTTTGGCCGTATAGCTGAGACTATAGTCACAAATTCTACAGGATTTTGTTTATCTCTCTACCAATATTTTCCCTCTCTACTGTTCAAATACAGCTCTATTCTGTTTGAACCCCATCCTCTGTTATTAGTCGTGAAGTTGTGTCTGACCCATCGCGATCCCATGGACAATGTCCTCTACCATCCTCTGGAATCCATTTAAGCTCACGCCAACTGCTTTGGTGACTCCATCCAGCCACCTGATTCTCTGTCGTCCCTTTCTTCTTTTGCCCTCCATCTTTCCCAGCATTAGGCTCTTCTCCAGTGAGTCCTTCCAGTGAGTCCTCCTGGGAGTCCATCCTCGGTTACTTATGTCAAATAAAACTTGGCTTAGAAAATGCAAGCGATTTATAAGCTCTCTCCAACATGGCCTCTCTCACGTACAGGCAGCTTGGAATCTGGATTCAAGCCGGGCTGAGAATAATTCAAGAAGCCGGGCCGTGTATGGATTCTCTCGTGCTTCAGAAGGCCTGAACTTTGCTTGAATTTTTTCCCACACTGGGAACATTTGTAGGGTTTCTGCCCCGTGTGGTTTCTCTTATGCCTCGTGAGGCTGGACTTGTTAGTGAAGGTGTTCCCACAGTCTGAGCATCGGTAAGGTTTTTCCCCAGTGTGGATCCTCTCGTGTTTCACAAGATTTGAGCTCTGGGAAAAGCGTTTCCCACAGATGGAACAACTATACGGGGTCTCCCCTGTATGAGTCCTTCCGTGGACTAGAAGACTGGAGCTCTGCTTGAAGCTTTTGCCGCAGTCTGAGCATATGTAAGGCCTCAGGCCGGTGTGATTCCTCATGTGCCTGATTAAACTCGAGCTCTGGCTGAAACGCTTCCCGCAGTTTAAGCAACCGAAAGGCTTCTCTCCAGTGTGTTTCCTCTTGTGTCTGGTCAGGCTGGATTTGTTACTGAAGCTGTTCCCACATTCTGAGCATCTGTAGGGTTTTTCTCCCGTGTGAGTCCGGTCGTGGGTGAGGAGAGCCGATCGTTTCTTGAAGCCCTTCCCGCAATCAGCACACTTGTATCGTTTCTCAGTTCCCTTGGGCCTCTCGTGATCAATGAGGCCCGACGGATCACCAAAACTTTTGCCGTACATCGGACAGTAATGGGGATCCTCTCCCGGGTAGATTCTTTCGTCCTCCTCACCTTCTGGAAGAGAGAATTGGGGTATCAGTCTTTATATAGACCTGGAGTTAATTAGAGGTAGTCCTCGACTTACAACCATTTGTTTGGTGACCGTCCACAGTTACAATGGCATTTTAAAAAATGACATGTTGACTGTTTTTCACATTTATGACTGTTGCAGTATCCCCATGGTCACGTGATCAAAATTTGGACACTGAGCAATGGACTCATATTTGTATTTATGACTGTTGCAGTGTCCCAGGGTCATGAGTAGGATGGATAAAAATTGATTTTTTTAAAAAAATGGATTTTTAAATTTTAAATTGGATTTTTTAAATTTAAATTGGATTTTTTTATTTAAATTGGATTTTTTAAATTAAATTGGATTCTTTAAATTTAAATTGGATTTTTTAAATTAAATTGGATTTTTTAAATTTAAATTGGATTTTTAAATTTAAATTGGATTTTTTAAATTAAATTGGATTTTTTTTAAATCAAATTTATTTTAATACGATGCCTTTTGGAGTAAAAATCTATCAAAAATAGTTTTCTATTTAAGATATATTAATAATTTAGTTTATTCAGCATGAATAGCAATAGCAATAGCAGTTAGACTTATATACTGCTTCATAGGGCTTTCAGCCCTCTCTAAGCGGTTTACAGAGTCAGCATATCGCCCCCACA